AAAAAAAAAAAAGGTCAAGATCCAGATCTGTTGTTCACAGTGTTACCAAACAACAACAACAACAGCTTTATAGGAGGTGAGCTGGTAGCAGAGTGGTTAAGTATGTGGTACTAAGTGAGGGGTCAGCGGTTCGAATCTACCCAGTCTTGTCAGAGATGAGATAGTCTGATTCTGAAAGGATTTCAACTCATTTCAAACTCATTGCCAGCCAGCCAGAGGTCAGGGCTCAGCCCTCCCTCCACTGGGTTTCGGGGGCTGTAAACAATCACATGGGAGGAGATTGTCCAACTTTCTTCTCCTGCAAGTGGTTGATGGATGTATCCAACCACCAGAGAGGCTCAAACTTCGGGTTTGCGAGGTAACTCCCCAAGGACTCCATCGCTAGAGCTCCTGGTAAATACTCAGAGCTTTGGGAATCCCAAGGAACATTTCTACTCTTAGAATACACTGTTGGGGCGAGCTCTGGTGGCCTAGTGGCAAGAAGTTGCACTGCAATCTCAGAGGTGCATGGTTCAAATCCACCAGATGCTCTGCTGGAGGAGGAACAATCTCCTCTTGTACCAGTCAGATCTGATTTGACGGTACACACAAAAAATAATGAAATAAAATAAATTTTTTTTTAAAAAAAGAATACGCTGTTGGGTTTGTTGTCAAGTACTGTCGAGTTAAGCACGACTCATAGCGACCCTATGAACAAAAGATCTGAACCCTGTTCTCCAACTATCGTCATTTCTCTACTCTTCAGTTTCCAAAGACACGTTGTTTAGCAAGTGGGACGGCACACCTGCTCCCAAGCTTGTCTTAATCTGGGAACTCCACCCAACACTGTCCACCATGGGTGACCATTATGGCATATACTACACCAGTGGCACAGCGTTCAGCAGCCCGGCAACCCCAAGTTACTCCAGTACAGCAAACTGACAGACCAGTGCTGTACCACTTAGAAGAATGTTCGTCCCAAACACAGTGAAACACCAGCCCACAGCAGATTGTTAGCTAAATCTAGTAAATCAAATCACCTCACACATGATTGTGAATGAAACAAAACACAACCGACTTTCAACTAAATAAAACAAAGAGCATCTACCCTCCAGAATCCAACTGCTTTACATACGGAAGGCAGTAAATATAATCTTTACAGGAGTAGCCCCGGGGGCCCAGCGGGTAAGAGCTCAGCTGTACGCTGAAAGGTTTGCACTCAGCTTCTGTGAAGCTCCCCTGGAGAAAAGAGCTGCCCAGTTGCTCCAATAAAGATCTAAAGTCTTGGAGCTCTGGTAGCCTAGTGGCAAGAAGCTGCACTGCAATCCCAGAGGCAAGCAGTTCGAAACCACCAGATGCTCTACTGGAGAAGGGACAATCTCCTCCTGTACCAGTCAGATCTGATTTGACGGTACACACAGAAAAAAACCAATAAAATAAAATTTCAAAAAATATATAATAATAAAAAAAAAGATCTAAAGTCTTAGAAACTATATGGGAAGGGAGCTCTGGTGGCCTAGTGGCAAGACGCTGCACTGCAATCCCAGAGGTGCGCAGTTCAAATCCACCAGATGCTCTGCTGGAGAAGGAGGGGGCAATCTCCTCCTGTACCAGTCAGATCTGATTTGATGATACACGTAAAAATAATACACTAAAAATTAAAAAAAAAAATTTAAAACACACACACAAAAATCTATATGGGACAGTTCAGTCCTCCAGGGTTGCTGTGGTATCTGTTATAGCAGCACCAGGTGACTCATGCACCATCCAGCGTGGCCCTTCCGTTACAGCAGCCCTAGATGACCCACCCCTCCCGTCCACCATGCTTACTGGGCTCCTGTTCAGCGTCCATCTTGGCCTTCAGCAGCATCCGCAGCCGCGACACCTCCTGTCGCTTGAGTTCGTCCAGCTTGGTGCGGACATGGTGGCTGACGAAGTCCAGCTCACGGCTCAGCTTCCCGCTCTGTCCAGAGGGATAGGACACGGGTCAGCTTAAAGGGCCATGGAAGCAGTGCTTGGGCAGCCTCATCCTGGGTCTGCTCTTTCCAGAACCTTCTGCAAGCTTTCTAATCTCCAAGGCCAATCCCACACCTCTCCTGCTCCGGGACCCCCTGGCAGGTTCCAACTCCTCAGCCTGGTATTAAAGGTCCTGGGTGTCCTGATGACCAAACACTCTATAAGGTGTCTCCTCAGTTTGGATGTTATGGGCCCCTGGGTTCGAATCCCAATACTGGCATCTGTCAAACTCTTCTTTCTCTGGGCCTCAAAAAGGGAGTGGTACTGACTGTAGGTTTAAGATGGGCCAGGCCCAGTACTTGAAGGAATTATGTGTACAGCAGTTGCTCAGAGAGATATTTATATAGACCTTCCCATTTTTTTAATATATTTTTTTAAATTTTATTATTTGTGTGTGTGTACTGTCAAATTGGATCTGACTGGTACAGAAGGAGATTGTCCCTCCTTCTCCAGCAAAGCATCTGGTGGATTCGAACCATATGCTTCTGGAATTGCAGTGCAGCTTCTTGCCACTAGGCCACCAGAGCTCCCTCCACTAGGCCACCAGAGCTCCCAGCCATTTTTAAAATAAATTTTAAAAATGTTATTATTTTTTGTGTGTGTACCATCAAATTGGATCTGACGGGTACAGGAGGAGATTGTCCTTCCTTCTCCAACAGAGCATCTGGTGGATTCGAACCCTGCAACTCTGAGATTGAAGTGCAGCTTCTTGCCACTCAGCCACCAGAGCAATGCTAGCTTCCCATTTTCATAGTTGAAAACCAAGGCTCAGAGAAGTGGCCACCTGCCCAGGCCTGAAACTCTGCAGGGAGCCACTTGAGAAGTTTCTAGAGTGCCTAACTGCCGACTGTTACTTCTGTCACTTGCCAGAAGTGTGACAAGGTGAATTTGGTTCCCAGGCCTCAGTCTCCCCAGCTGGGAAGTGGAAGGGCTGGACTCACAAGTCTGCATCTGTCTCCCTTCCAGGTCTGGGTTTGGTGAAGGCAGGGAGGGGTCTGGAATTAGAGAGGCGGAGCATGCAAATAAGAGGGTGGGGCCTGAGAACCAAGGGGAGGACCCTGGAGTAGGCCTGCGACCACTCAGAGTGAAGGAGGTGGAGCTAGCGGATCCTGGGGCAGGACCTGTGAGCCGAGGACCAATTAGAGCTAGAAGGCGAACCCTGGAGCACAGGGCTCGGGCCCTAAGGGAGTGATTGGGCAGTGCCTGAGGGGGTGGGGCTTGGAGCAGAAAAGAGGCGGGGCCTAGAAGACAGGCCCTCCAAGAGCCAAAGGAAGGGTGCCTTGGTGGGTGGAGCCTAAAGGGGGTGGAGCTTGAAGAGGAGAGAATTTTAAAGTCTGGAAGAGCTAGAAGGTGCAGTCCTAAGAAAATCTCAGGCTGAGTTAGGTGAGGCATAGGAGGGGCAGGCCTGGAGAGTTAAGGGATGGGAGGCCCGAGATAACCCCAGGATTGGGGTTGGTACACACTGTTCCATAGTCTTGTCAAATATCGATTATGTACAGTGTTTGGATGAGCTTTCAGGTTGATTTATGCTGGGAAGCAGGAGTAGCATCCACTTCCTAAACTAGAAGACTCTGGAAACTCTACAAACTCTCTAAACTCTACAAACCCTCTATACTATAAAGGTACAGAAATGATGTTAGTTATAGAACAGAGTTCTGTACAGAAATGATGTTCATCATAGAACAGAGTTTAGGTCTACTGTGCAAAACTTACTCTAAGTCATATTCGACTTGACGAGACACTTTACCTTTGCTAAATGAGACTAGTGTTGTTAGATCTGGAGGAACACTCTTCCACGTTGAACACCTCTCCTTGTCAATGTGCTGTATGAAGTACACTGGATTTGCTGTGATGCTGAACCTTGTGTCATGGGGATATCAAATACCAGAGTGGTTTCCCAATGTGGACAGTGTTTGGTGGAGCTCTCAGTTGTAAAACAGGTTTGGAAGCAGGAGTGGCATCCACTCCCTAAACCACATGCCTCTGGAAACTCTATGAACGTGGAGAACTGATAATAGTTCTGCAAAGGCATTAGGTCTTTTGTTCATAGAGTTGCTATGAATCTCACTTGATGGCAATCAACAACAACAACATCAGGGTAGGGCCCACTGCTCTATTGGCTTGGGATTCCCAATCCTGGACAGTCCAGGAATTCAGTGCAGTTTCCATAGGGAACATGGTACTCCTGGCTGGCCTGCAGGTTAAGGTTTTAGGGGACCCAGGGAGCTGGCATGTTGAATGGCTCCTACAGGCAAGCCCTTTGGAAAAATGGGACATGCAGGAGTGTGGGGCCTTCCAAATGCGGCCGAAAGGCTGTGGAGAAGGCTGGGATGGGAAGCAGAAACTTCGGGCAGGCCCAGCCCTGTTGCCTCACATGTCAGGTGGGTGGGAGGGAGGTGGAGGTGGCTCTGAGCGAGGGTCTGGGCTCAGCCAGCTCAGGAGTAAGTCCCAAGCCCATGGAAAGGACAACTACTTCCAGGAAACTGGGATCCCCCCATCTCCTTTGTGGGTCTTAACATAAGCTGTGAATGAGCAAGCTTTCTTCCCTGTAGATGGCACTCTGTAAGCAACTTCCTATAGACAGCCACTGTCTTTACATGGATAATGCTATCCTGAATCCTGGGATGCAAGTCCCAGTAACAGTCCTATTTTATAGATGGAGGAAAACCACAGCAAGGGAAGGTGAGTGGGAAAGCCGAGACTGGCCTGTCACTGTCTCGGTGCCCATGTCCCTTACCCACTGTGTCATCGTCCAGTGTGACTTCCTCTCCCCCATCTCCTCTGTGATGTAGCAGGGTGGGGTGGTCACTTTGGGGATCTCTCCCCGGCTCTGTCCTCCAGCATCCCTCGCACCTTTATGTCCTCTGCGTTGGCGGCCTGCAGCTTCTCCCGGAAGTGCCCATCGGTCTCCAGCACGTTGATAACCTCTTGGAGGTACCGGTGGTAATACAGGCCTGTGTCCTAAGGTGACAAGGAGTGACATATCACCCTCAGCCCTTGTTCCTCGCTGGTTATTTTCTGCAAGTAGAGTTCTGTAGGTAGCAGCTGAGGGTCCCCGGGTCCTGCACAACTGCTCCAGAACCAGAGACCCCCAGTTCAAGGCTCAACTCTGCCGTATAACCCCAGACAATCTGATCGACATAACCCATGGGCCACAGCTTTCACCTGCTCTCTGCACAGCTGTGTTGAAGACATGAAAAGAAGCACATGGCTTTCTACGAAGACGGCTCCAAAAGCAAAGAAGGAGGCCCCTGCCCCTCCCCAAACTGAAGCCAAAGCAAAGGCATTAGAGGCCAAGAAGACGTCCTGAAGGGGCATCCACAGCCAAAAAAAAAAAAGATCCGCACGTCACCCACCTTCCGGCGGCCTAAGACGCTGAGACTCTGAAGGCAGCCCAGATACCCCTGGAAGAGCGCCCCCAGGAGAAACAAGCTTGACCACTAGGCCATCATCAAATTTCCCCTGACCACTGAGTCAGCTATGAAGAAGACAGAAGATAACAACACACTTGTGTTCACTGTGGATGTCAAGGCCAACAAGCACCAAATTAAACAAGCTGTAAATAAGCTCTGTGACACTGATGTGGCCAAGGTCAACACTCTGATCAGGCCTGATGGAGAGAAGAAGGCATATGTTCGACTTGCTCCTGACTATGATGCTTTGGATGTTGCCAACAAAATTGGGATCATCTACACTGAGTCCAGCTGGCTAATTTTAAATACAAATTTTTCTTACCAAAAAAAAGGATCCCATGGCCCCGTGTTCATTATACCACTAGAACCACTTTTTGTATCCCAGGTGTTATAAATTTCAGCTACATATTAATGAGGCAGGATACAAGATCAGGTTATATCTAGTTAATTTCTTTCTTTTTTTT